TTAAGCCACGGGGTCCGGGATGCGACCCGCGGTCGACTACGTGGGAGTCCAGCGACATAGCCATTACACTAACTGCTGGTTCTCCACTTATTTTATTTTTAAGAATTCTTTTCATTTCATTTGTTTATTTATTTATGTTGTTATTTAAATTTGACTAGAGAGGAACAGAGTGAGAGAGCGAGAGACAGAAAGTGAGCAAGCAAACATCAGGTCCAGGACTTAAACCATGGTTGGCCATATGGGAGTCCAACACCTTTAACCACCACGCCACCTGCTGGTCCTTCTCATTCACTTATTTTTTAAAACTTTGACCAGAGAGAGACACACAAGGCGGGGGTGGGGTGGGAGGGGCAGTGTGAAAGTAAGCCACTAGTCCAGGACTTGAACTGTGGTCAGCCATGTGGGAGTGTCCAGCATCTTAACCACCATGCCACCTGCTGGTCCCTTGTTTTTGTTTTTTAATTTGCCAGAGGGCACCTGTGCTCACCTGAGACAGAGAGAAGGAGAAAGAAAGCATCTGTCGATGGGGCATGGTCACAACGCAGTCACTTACCCTCCACTTCTCCATCCTGGTGGGATTCTGGGCATGCCTACGCACATGCACAGCGTGTCTCCCAAGCTGCCAGGGCCAGAACCCCAGCACACGGTCAGTCTAGTAGGATCCAGCTCCCTTACCCGCCAGGTCACAAGGCTGCCCTTAGGGCTTAGTTGTTTTTTGTTTAAGAATTATTTTATTTAACTTTTGGACCAGCAGGTGGTGTGGTGGTTAAGGGCACTGGACTCCCACATGGCCCATTGTGGTTCGAGTCCTGGACCTGGCGGTTTGTTTTCACACTTTCTCCCTCTCTCTCTCTGTCCCTCTCTAGTTAAATTAAAACAAACAAATAAATAAAGTTAAATAAAATCATTCTTTTAAAAAAGGATTGTTTTATTTAACTTTACTTATTTTAATTTGACCAGAGAGGGACAGAGAGAGAGAGAGAGAGAGAGAGAAAGTGGAAAAGCAAGCTGCCAGGTCCAGGACTCAAACCACAGTTGGTCTTTTGGAGTTCAGTGCCCTTAGCCAGCATACCACCTGCTGGGCCCAGGGTTTAGTTTTAACGAGCAGGCTCCCAATTTATTAAAAGAAGAGATATTAAGCTATAACGTTGTCCAGATAACATACTCACTCTTTCTCCACTGAAGTCCTGTTATACCCAAAGGTTGTTGGGAAAGTGAAGTATCAGACTGACAGGTAGATCTTTCTTTTTTTTTTTTTTTTTCCTAAGAATTATTTTAACTTTCTTTCTTTCTTTCTTTCTTTAAATTTGACAGAGAGGAACAGAGCGAGAGAGTGATAGAGAGGAAGGGAAAGTGAGAAAGCAAGCCTCCAGGCCCAGGGCTCGAACTGCAGTCGGTCATGTGCAAGTCCAGCTCCCTTAACCACCATGCCACCTGCCAGCCCCCTGACTGGTAGATCTTAAAGGCCAGTTTCCTGCCATGCTGATGGTCGATGTTCCCACCACTCTAGAGACACTACCAGAAGGGGCACTCAAAGGGCTGAAATGGATTACTGAAGAAATGAGAGAAAAGATGGGGCAGCAGGCAGTGTGGGAGTTAAGTGCTGGATTCCCACGAGACTGACAACAGTTCACATCCTGGACCCAGTGACTTGAAAATCACACCAGGCGGGACCAGCGGTTAGTGTAATGGCTATGTCGCTGGATTCCCCTGTAGTTGACCGCGGTTCCAGTCCTGAACCTGGTGGCTTAAAACTCACGCTAGGCATGCATACCCAAGATCCCAGGAGAATAGAGGAGAAGGGATTGTGGCGTGGCCATCTTCCCTGGGAGGTGATTTCTCACTTTCTGTCTCTTGGTCTCTCTCTGTCTCTCTGGCAAGTGCACACGCCCTACAGCAAAAACCTCTCCAAAAAAAAAAAAAAAAATTACACCAGGCATGTGTGCATACCCAAAATCCCAAGAGAAAAATGGAGGAGAACGGATTGTGATGTGTTCAACCCCTTTGGGTGGGGGGATCTTCACTTTTCTTCTGTCTCTTTCTCCAGTGAGCTTATGCACCCTATGGCAAAAAAAAACTAAAAAAGAAAAAGAAAAAGAAATGAGAGGAAAGGATTCTAAACTACTGGTATGAATTGTGCTCCCTCAAATGCAATGTTCATCTGTACTACCTTTAGGAGCAAGTGTCTACACTGCTTAAATCACTTTTCTTCCTTTTGTCTGTGCCCTGGGAAAATAATGAATTCTGTATGTGTGTGTGTTTTCCATTTTGTTTCTTCAGTTGCCAGAGGGCTTACCAGAGAGAGAGGGAGATAAGAGGGACTGGCAGGTGGCGTGGTGGTTGGTTCGAGTCCCAGACCTGGCAACTTGCTTCCTCACTTTCTCTCCCTCTCGTTCTCTGTCCCTCTCTGGTCAAGTTAAAAAATAAGTAAATAAATAAAGTTAAATAAAACACTTATTTAAAAAGAGAGAGAGAGATGGAGATAGAAAAGGAGAAAGCACACCCCAATGGGGCATGGTCACACTATAATCCCCTCTCCTCCATTTCTCCAACTCCTTGGAATTTGGGTTATGCACATATTCACACTCAGCATGTTTTTCAAGCTGTCAGGGCCAGGATTTGAACCGTAGGAAGCCATGTGGGATTTGGCTCCCTCAACTACCAGGCTACAGGCCGCCCAGTGAGTTCCATTTTCTTTAAGGTTAAAAATGCTCCTCCTCTGGTAGAAGAGGGACCCTGCCCAATCAAGGTGAGGATCAGGGCCAGTAAGTACCTCAACGTCCCGCTTCAGTTTCTCCAGGAAGTTCTTTTTACTCTCCTCTCCCACATGCAGCTTCTGCCCTTCATTGAGGAAGTCATTGTCTTTGAATGTTGGCAAGTCCTTGGCCTAGGTGAGCAATACAGTGTTAGGCTGGGGAGGCCAGATGCACTCGGCCCAGGAGAATAAACTGTTCTGCCGGGAGCAATAGCACAGAAAGGGGACTGTCTGTAACGCACACTCACTCGACCTGCTAAATCAATGGGGCAGGAGCCTGTAACCCAGGCTTTGGGCAGGCAGGGATGGCAATATGTGGCATATACCAGACGATAAGGACTGACTGCAGGATCCTTCCCGCTGAGTGTAGATTAGCTCAGG